CCCCAAAACCCCAAAACCCCAAAACCCCAAAACCCCAAAACCCCAAGTAAAAAAATACAGTTGAGATTATAGGAATTAGAGGTTATAAGTGGGAACGGGGTGGGGAGAATAGGATTTTGTCCATCCTTTCTTCGGCTTCGAGGCTCTTTTGGAATTTTAGGGAGGAACTGGGGCTGGTCTCGTGGAGAGGTGTGTGGGAGGGGTCTTGGGGAGGTCTGAAGCTGCTGTCGTAGTTGAGATCGAGGTTTAGACGGTGCCTATTAGGGGATTAAGAAAGGTTGAGAGCACTTACTGTGAAGTTCTCTTATCTTGCGGATACTTCTCTCTTGATATTTGTTTGATCGTAGATTTTGATTCAAATCGCTTAGAATCAAATTTCTTAGAGTATATCTCAGATTGGTATTTCTCTTGTTTGACATTCTCTACCCATTTTGATAACTTTGTTGAGTTTCCTTTAACAGGGGACTCAGATCATTCATTACTTGTATCATGCTCGAAGATGCTCTTTTGAGTATTCTCCTTATCTCTAATGTTGAACAAGACAGAATTTGGCTTATCTTTATGAGACCCGTAGCCTCTTTCATCATATTGAGAAGCGTTCAAAACATTCTGCTTATAAGTAATCGAGAAGTTAAATGTATCATCATGGTCCTTCCGAGTTAGAACAGGAGGAAACTGGTTAGGCTCATCCATATACTCTGAATCATCCAATAGACAAGAGTCATTAGGAGGACTGAGAAGTATGTTCTTTTCATCATTAAAGTTACTTTCTAAGTTCCTAGGTTTTACTCTTTGTTGATAGTTCACTATCTGTTTATCCTGTTGGTCACAAGGAGTTTCTCCAAGGCTTGAAGAGTGATGGTCACTCAAGATATTTTCATCCTTGTCAACCAATATATTTCAGTGATATTTAGCTCTCTTTTCTTGATTCAAAAATGGCTTAGACATAGATCTTGAGATTCCTACCTCCCCTTCTTTGTTTGAGATATTAGCCTCTTTATTTAGAAGGTTTATTTTTGGCTTTGCTAGTCTGTAAGAGACATTCTTTGCTAGAACTTTGAACTGAATCCCTTCTCTTCCTAGTTTTAATATCTTTTTGAGGTTTTTGAACAAAAGTTCCATCAAGCTTCATTCTATAACTCTTTGGAACTTCAGCGCTGACATCAGTGAGATTAGTCTTTGCACTTGTCCTCAGATCTGAGGTAAGTTTGATCCATTTCTCAAAGATATCTTCTCAGATCTTATAGCGGGGGTTATCAAACACTGAGATAAGTTCGGAGAAATTCCTGAGTATCTTCTCTACTCCATACGTATGCTCGGTCAGAGTCGATAGCTGCTTAATAATCTTAACTGACAGAGCCTTGCAGGTCTTCACGTTAGTAAGTTTTGAAGAATAAGATTTCTTGTATGAAGACTTTCCTCTACTCTTCTTCTCTTTCCCTCCCTTTTTATGAGCTTTCAAGGTTGATTTGACTGGAGTTTTAGCCTCATTATTTCTAAAATTTACACATTCCGGTTACTTTTTAAGGTCAGATTTAATATTTTTATTGTCAGTTTTTGGTCTAGGAGTGGTTAATCGTTTTGTCTTAGAGCAACTACTATTAGCAGAAGCATCCCTGTTCCTGGTGGCTCTATCCCTCCTAACTGAAGGAGTACTTCTACTGTTGCTTGAGTTATTCCTGTTTTCAATTGACTTAGACTTATCCTGATTGAGATATCCCTGATTAGTAGTTGGCACCTGCTTGGGGTAATTATGCTTCTTCAGGCTAGATTTACACTCAGAGTTCTCCATTATCCTAATAGTCTTCTTTGGGTCAGTATTTTCTCTTTTGTTAACATTATTCTTCATAGATGATATATTTTTCTTAAGATCATTCTTATCTCTCTTATTGTCAACGGTTTGATTCTCGAGTTTCCTGGCTGATTTCCTCTTTCCTTTCCTACCCCTCACAATACTTTGCTTAGTGAAGTGGAGACCTTTCTTCCCTTCTCCCACCTTAGGGGTATTTCTCGTCATATTTTTAGATGCTTTGACATACTTTGACTTGATCATTCTTACATTTGGTTTACAGACAACAAATGCGTTATTTCTTCTGTGCTCTCTTGTATTCACTTCTATTGGTACTAAATATGAATGAGATTGATAATTTTCCAGAAAACTTCTAGGCAAAGAAAGTACCTTCAGGCTCCTTTTTGTCAGGAACAACTTTGGGTTCACCTCCAGTGATCTTGCAGTGGATATTCTCAAGTGAGTTCTCTACGTTATTTCTGCAGAAGAAGGAGTTCCTCCTTCTTCTGCCTAAGCAATTCGTATTGGGCATCTAGAGAAGCTCCAACCTCTGTCACAGAGACTGGGACTAGTTGTGTGTCAGTGTTAGATGGAATTTTGTTATCACCTTTAGAGGAGACGTTAGGTTGATGGTCACCTTTTACAGACCTAGGATCAAAGCTAAGCGAGTTTGTCAAACTAGGAGTAAATAGTGAGCCTCTCTTCTGCTCTTCACAGTTATTTAGGATCTCTAAATCAGGCTTTGCATCTGAAAAATGGCGGCTCTTTGCCATTTTCAGATTTTGCTCATGATTTGGTTGTTCAAAATCAGTCCTCTGAGCAAGGTTATAGCACTTCAAGTCGTTTTGGAATGGATTCTAAATGATTATCCATGAATTAGTACAAAAGCAGTCAAACTTTTCAGACGATCTGCATGTTTTCTCATTGCAAACTCCTGTGTAGATTGTGAGGGTGAATTTTGATCTTTACTCATATTTTGTTGAGATTCCTACATAATTTAGCACAGAATTTTGGCTAATAAACAAGGACTGGGAATTATCATACCTGATGCTGTGCCATTTAACAATAATTTTAATTCAACGGCTACTCAAATCAACGGGGTTTTGGGGTTTTGGGGTTTTGGGGTTTTGGGG